CGGTGCCCCTGGGCAGCCTGGCTTTTGTGGCTCTGGAAGGGTCTCTGAAGGTAGCTGGAGGCAAGGATCTGTGCAGAGCCTTGGGAGCTGCTCTGCAGCACGGGATTGCTCTGCCCTAGTGAGGCCACATCTGTGGGGTGTCCAGTTCTGGGCTCCCCAGTTCAAGAGGGACAGGGATTGACTGGGGAGAGTCCATGGGAGGCTACAAGGATGATGAAGGGGCTAGAACATGTCATACAAGGAAAGGCTGAGAGACCTGGGACTATTTAGTCTTGGGAAGACTAGAGGGGACCTTATTAATGTCTATAAATATCTGCAGGGGGTGTCAAGAATGGACCAGTCTCTGTTCAGTGGTGCCTGTGACAGGATGAGGGGAAACAGCACCAAGTGACAACACAGGAGGTTCCACCTCAACATGAGGAGAAACTTCTTTCCTGAGGGTGGCAGAGCCCTGGGACAGGCTGCCCAGGGAGGTGGGGGAGTCTCCTTCTCTGGAGACTTTCAAGCCCCATCTGGACACTTTACTGTGGGATCTGCTCCTGCTGCAGCAGGGGGGTTGGACTCGATGATCTTCAGAGGTCCCTTCCAACCCCTCTGATTCCATGATCCTGAGCGTGTCTCCTCCCTCCCTGCTTCACACCAGGGTCACTTCCCTGCCCTCTGTTCTCTCCCTCTGCCCTGCAGAGTTACCCATTCCCCAGCACACCCGCTGTGCCCATGGCTGTCCCACTGGCACAGCCCTGGGGCCAGCAGAGCCCCAGGCAGGGTCCCAGCAGGGCTGAGGCTCCTGTGCTGCTGGCACACGGAGCCCCTGAGGGTGCTGCTTCAGCTCCCAAAACACAAGCAGCTCTCCTGGCAGATCTGGGGGCTTGGGTGACATTTCTGAGCTCCACGTGCCAGTGTCACCTCAGGAACATCCTGCCTGTTGTCTTCAGATCCTCTCGGGGTGGTGACAGCCTCAAGAAGAGCTCAGAAACTTGCTGTGGGGAAGGCTTTGTCTAGTGCCTTTCAGAAGATCCTCCTCATCATCTTAGGTAAGGGCTGTTTTGATATTAAACACCAGGGGGGTTGGGCTAATGATACCACTTTTGTGACCCTTGGGATGAATTCTTTGAGCTTTGCTTGGGATTCGTGGAGGTTTTTGGGGTCTCAGCCCAAATCTAACTTGTGTAGTGGTCTGTAATGATGTGACCCCAAGAAAGTGAAAGGAAAATCCACCAGGAGTTCTGATTATTTTTTATCATGAAGTTATGGAAAGGCCAAATTCCAAGAATGGAAACCCTGGCAGGGAGAACTGAATGGGGATGTGGGGAAGTTCTGGTTCCAGGGGGAGCAGGAACTGAACAGCAGCAATTTGCACTTTCCTGTCCTGGTTCCAAGCCAACCAGGTGCCTCCTACCAAGCATCTTGTGACCTCACCCCTTCCTACAAACCCTGCCATGGTGTCCCTGCCCATGCAGGGGGAGTGATCTAGATGGTCCTTAAGGCCCCTTCCAACCCAGACCAGTCTGGGATTCAAAGGTCCATCCATGCCCCACGGTTGTGTTCAGTGTTGAATCTTTGGGGCCACCATCTCCTGGGGGTTGTTAGGTGATCAGGTGGTATCAGAGGACTTTAATGCTTATCAGGACAGACCCTGATGAGATCAGGTCACTGTCACTATCATCATTTTACAGAGAGGGGCCTTTTCACCTGCCAGATTCCTCCCCTGGATTCATTCAGGTGTTCTTTCCACAGGTGGGTCTCTGGAGCCAGAGAAAGCAGCAGAGTCCTTCAGACCAACCCACCCCTCCCTCTAAAAGCAGCTGGGGAGCAGAATTGGCTCACCTGGAGCTCAGGCTGTGCTTGTCAATACCCAGGGTCAGAACCAACCATGTTTCTGGTTGTTTCTTCTGTGTGCTCGTTTCAGAGAATGGGAAGGTGGCTGTGGAGTACAATCCCACCCAGGAGGAGCTCACAGACTCCCTGCCAGAAGAGGAACTGAAGGGGCTTCTTCAGGTAAAACCAGGGAACATTGAGCTTTTCCTTAGGACCTGTGTGTTCCCTCTGGGGCCTGGAGATAGAGCTGTTAACTGATCCAGCCTCTGACACCCTCCTCTTCTGCAGCAATGAACTCAAATCCCAGGAATTACCCACATCTTGGGAGTTGTACAGCACACTAGAGACTTTTTTTTGGTATCTTGGTGCAGAAATGAGTATCTATTTTAGACGGCACAGGGAAATGAGGAGTTTGGGGACAGGGCTGTTCTGGTGCAGGTTGACAAGTCTGGCACATGACAGTGTCCAGGATTGTGCTTCAGGGAATCTGGGGGAGTGGAAAGCCTGGAAAATTAACAGTAGGTTAAATTAAATTATTTGGTTTCTTAAATAAATAGAAGTAAATCAAGAAATAGATAAAAAGAAGTCAAATCAAACAAAACTCCCCATCCAGAAATGCACTTCACAGACATATCCTTACCCCAGAGGGAGGGATTGGTACAAGCTTTGGTGGAATCCCTGGAAGAAGCTGTGGGATCTGTTGGCATGTCCTGACAAGCCAGGCTCAGGCTCACATGGTGCCTCAGCCCTGAGCAGCCTCTCCCTCCTCCCCCAGCTTTCCTGGAGGAAATGTCTGACAAGTCTTGTGACAGATCATTCCCTTTGTTGGCACTGAGTCACCTCGTGGCAGAGCTGTGTCATGGAATCATGGAATCATGGAATGGTTTGGGTTGAAAGGAATCATAGATCATCTAGTTCCAATCCCCTGAACAAGCAGGGACACCTCCCAGCAGCCCAGGCTGCTCCAAGCCCCATCCAACCTGCCCTTCAACACTGCCAGGGATGGGGCAGCCACAGCTTCCCTGGGCAACCTGGGCCAGGCTCTCACCACCCTCACAGGGAAGAATTTCCTCCTCATGTCCAAACTCAATCTCCCTCTCCCAGTTTTCATCCCTTCCCCCTTGTCCTCTGCCTCCCTGCCCTTGTCCCAAGTCCCTCCCCAGCTTTCCAGGAGCCCCTTCAGGCACTGGAAGCTGCTCTAAGGTCTCCCTGGGGTCTTCTCATCTCCAGGCTGAACACCCCAGCTCTCCCAGCCTGGCTCCAGAGCCCTGTCTCCCAAGTCCCTCCCCAGCTTTCCTGGAGCCCCTTCAATGATGAGAAGGCCACTGTGAGGTGTTCCTGTCTTACTGAAGAGGAGCAGCAGAACAGGAATGTGTTGATGTGCCAAGTAACCCCCATCAGATATGACATTTCTTCTGCTTTGCTCTCCCCCCACGCAGCCCCTTCTCTCTGGCCTCTGTTAAACCCACAGAGAACTGACCTCACGTGCCATGACCAGAAGAGAAGTGAGCAGCAAAGTCAAACTGAAAGCTTCTCAAACCCCTGGTTCCCAGAAGAACCATCCTCACCTCCCCTGCCCTCTCACTTCCCTTGCCATCCTCGTGGGAGGTAACTCAGCTCTCTCTCCACAAGGCACCTGCCAGCCTGGGAGGGAGAGAAACAGGTCAGGAATTTGGAAGGATTAGTTTGGGAGAATTCCTGGGTGTCCTTTTTGTTTAGTCTGGAGAGGAGGAGAGTGAGGGGAGAACTTGCTGCTCTCCACAGCTGCCTGGGAGGAGGTTGTAGTGAGGTGGGGGTTGATCTCTTTACCCACCTAACCGGTGATAGGATGAAATGGCTTCAAGTTGTGCCAGGGGAGGCTGAGGTTGGACCTTGGGAACAGTTTCTCCCTGGCAAGGGTTGTCAGGGCCTGGCCCAGGCTGCCCAGGGCAGGGGGGGAGTCCCCATCCCTGCAGGGGTTGAAAAAACATCTGGATGTGGCACTTCAGGACATGGGTTAGTGGACCCAGTGGAGTTGGGTTGAGGGTTGGACTTGATGATCTCAGAGGTCTTTTCCAACCTTCATGATTCCATGATTCTATGACTGCCCTGTGATGTCAGTCTTTCCAAACCAGAAATGTTCCAGAGTTAGTAAATTCCAGACAATCATGGAATAGTTTGGGCTGGAAGGGACCTTAAAGATCATCCAGTCCCACCCCCTGCATGGACAGGGACACCTCCCACCAGCCCAGGCTGCTCCAAGCCCTATCCAACCTGCCCTTCAACACTGCCAGGGATGGGGCAGCCACAGCTTCCCTGGGCAACCTGGGCCAGGCTCTCACCACCCCCCAAAGGCTCCTGTGTGTGCTAAGATTGATGAAGCTAAAATACACTGTAAAGAAAGACATTTCCTCTTGATTTCTCTTCCCAGGTCAATGAATTGTCCTTGGAGCAGTTTGACCTCGAAGAAGAAGAAGAAATCTTGTCTGACCTCAGTTGGGACGATGAGCTCCTGAGCCTGGAGATGCCACCAAATTAGTGCAGCTCTGCCTTCCCATGGCTTCCCAAGGTTCTGCAGTGTTTGATGAGGAATGGAAATGAACCCTGTGGAGTGACACGTGTGTGTGTCATGGCCAGTGTTTGCTTTTTCTCCAAACACAGAAGAAAAAAAGAAAGAAATGGGCAATAAACCCAGTGGTGCTAAATTAAGCCCCCCAAAAATATGTACTGTTTTGAGAGGGGAAGTGTTTTCCTGTCAACTTATCCAGGTCAGTTATATATGGAAGCCAGTTCAGCTGCAGGGTTGTTATTTAGGCAGCACAACAGATGTTTGAAGTACTTCTGGAAAAATTAAAAGGAATCAACCCTTCCTGCAAGAGCCTGAAGATCAGGATTGCTCTGATTTTCAGGAGAAAACTGGAGATGGCGGAAGGAGGTGTCACCAGCAGGAGTAGCTGTGGGACTTAGACAGCTGAACTGGAACAGAGAACTTCTTCAAGTGCAGTGAAGGTGATGGGAGGGCTGGAGCAGCTCTGGGACAGGCTGGGAGAGTTGGGGTGTTCAGCCTGGAGAAGAGAAGGCTCCAGGGAGACCTTAGAGCAGCTTCCAGTGCCTGAAGGGGCTCCGGGAAAGCTGGGGAGGGGCTTGGGACAAGGGCAGGGAGGGATGGGATGAGGGGGATGGATGAAAACTGGGAGAGGGAGATTGAGGTGAGACATGAGGAGGGAATTCTTTGGTGTGAGGGTGGTGAGAGCCTGGCCCAGGTTGCCCAGGGAAGCTGTGGCTGCCCCATCCCTGGCAGTGTTGAAGGGCAGGTTGGATGGGGCTTGGAGCAGCCTGGGCTGGTGGGAGGTGTCCCTGCCCATGCAGGGGTTGGGACTGGATGAGCTTTAAGGTCCCTTCCAATCCAAACTAGTCTGGGATTCTATTAAACTCCTTTTGAAGAAAAAAGCCTGAGTCTTGTATCCATGTGTTGAACCACATGGGTTTCACCCCAGCTCCCAGCAGCTGGGACATGGTCAGGGTGTAAAGCAAGAGCTTTTTTAACAGCTTTAGCATGAAATGAAGGAGGTTTTGTGTCTCTGGATGAACCTGAGGAGCAGCACGAGCAGCGGGAAGGGGCACCAGGCCCCCCAGACCAGGAGGGGTGTGTGGGGTGGGGGGAAAACATTTGACAACACGTCCCTGCTCTTGATTTTTTCACCTCTGTCCTTGGATAAAAACAGGTGAGTGAAACAGGGCAGAGCTCAGGGAGCAGCCCCAGGAGTGACTTGGGGTCCCCCTTGGAACAGGGGAGCTGGATTGGGCTGGAAAGGGTGGAAAAGGGGCAGGTGGCTCTGGGGGAGATGTGATAACAGATGAGTTTGAACTGGGGGCGAAAGCGAAACGAGGCCCAGGGTCCAGACACGGAATTTGGGGAGAAATCCCAGCGCTTTGGATCCCAGCGTTCCAGCAGGGGAGGGAGCAGCCCTGGGGGGGTGGGATGCGACAGAAACCCCCCTGTTGGGGCAGTTGTGAGGCAGAGGTGGGATCCATCCCAGCCCTGGTGCTGAGGGGGGGCAGGTTCCAGGTGCCCAGAGCCCCCCGGGCC